CCTTTTTTTTTTTTTAGTTGTTACAGGAGTGAACTCATTACAAATAAAGCTTGCTCCACACTTCAGAGGAGGGTAAGGTAGTAATTAAGTGAATTGTACACACCTCTCACCTGGCCTCACCAAAAGTAGAGTTCAAGGATTGGTGAGGGAAAGGCCACATCCCCCCCAAACAGACAGAAGCTCCTGCACGCTGCTGGGGGACAAAGCCTCGGTTCCAGGACTCTTTGTGCTGTTGTAGTATCCCCTCTTCCTTGTGTCTCCTGTTAAGCAGTTGTCACCCACAGTTTGGAAAAAGAATACAACCCCTTCTCCTGAGGAGATGCAATGAGGAATGCAATAAGAACAAGGAAGGTTTGCAGATTCAAGAGGTGTCATGACCTCACATGCTCTCAAACCGCAAAGTTTACCCCCATAGGAGCAAGGGGTGGATGTGCAGAACGGGGGAAGCCTTTTGATACTGCCCATCTTTTTCCAACGTTAATAACGCTCAGTTGTCCCCAGTGACGCCTCTCCCATAAGGCGCACACATTACGCTGAGTGTATTTTTGAGCAGCTCATAAGGCAGCACGTACTGGCTGAGTCTAGTATAGAGAGGAACAGACAGGAAGGAGAACAGTTTGAGGGAAATTAAAACACAAGCAGAAATCCAGAGAGAACAGTTACAAATCCTTGGTGGTTGGCTCATGCTTTGCCTACATGTTATAGCATTACATATGTCAGGTTAGTTAGAGAGCTCCTCGTGACAGGGACAGTACCTCCTACATGTTTAAACAGAGCCTAACAAGGTAAGGCCTCGAGGCAACTGGCAACACAGTTAAAAACCATATATCCAGGTTGATTGACAGAACATGGAGAGACAGATCACCATTCTTAGATTTCTTTTGGGAAGCTCCTGTTACAAAAGTGGCAAATCAGTCATCGAATCCACTAAATCCCTCAGGACAGAAGATGAGCCCTTTGCTAACATGCCACAGCGAACAGCAACGAGAGCCTGAAATTTTTCCATGGGGAAGCATACCATGAAAAGGGTGGTAATGCCTGGCTTGGCCGATCTCCAGGACAGGTTCTGCACCTACCCTGCCTGAAGAAAGTGAGGACCCAGGTGATGGCTGAGGAACAAACACTTCTGTCTTTGTGGAACCCAAACACTTGGCTGACATCAAATACTTATTCTCAAATATTACCTCCCTCGGAAACAGGCAGAAACACAAAGAAAAGAAAGACTGACTATTTCCCTAGTCACATAGAGAATGCAAGAACAGGGGCAGGTTTGCATGAGCACTAGTTCTCTACCTTTCCCTCCTTTCCTTACGTAGCTTTGGTTCGATTCCAGCTTGGCTTGCCCTCCTCTGCACGGCTGGCAAGGCATTAGCTCTCTCCCTTGGTAGGATGGGAAGAAAGTGGGGGCTGGCCTGGCCTAGCTGGTTTTTCCTTCCTCTTTCCACTGATCACCTCCCCCCCTGCAGTAACGCATTAGCCCAGTGCCCCTTCCCCTTCTTCTCTCATGGGTTCTTGGCAGCAGTTCTCCTTCCATCATCAGGAGGGTAACAGCTGGACTGGGAAAGTGGGACTTGGGCAGACCGAGAAGAAGCTGAATTCTCACATTCCAGCAAAGAGGAGGTGGTGACAGCCACAGCAGAAGTAATACCTCTCCTCAGAATGGCTTGGCACCGGCAAAACTGTGATTTGAGGAAACTCAAATTTGTCTACTGGGGTTGTCCTCGCTCACAGGAGAGCCTGTCAGGAGGGAAGATTCCTTCAAAATAACCAGGTGATGGAGCAACTGTCACTAGTGCATACATTTTTCCCTCCGGTCTTTGCAGTGCTAAGGTGCATTTACAGCAAAGCTTGCTGAGCAGCGAGGGCACAAGGTGGTCCCCAGTGGCAAAGCCATGTCATGGCTGCCTAAGACGTTCAGCACAGTCCAAAGCAGCATGAGTTCCAGCTCTGCTGGAGCAGAACTGGGTTGTGTGTGTGCAACCTGCCGAATATGGGGAAGGAAAAGGTACTTTTAGCAGCATATTGAATAGACTAGGAGGCATGAAGATTTTTATTGGCCTAAACATAGTGTGTTGCTAAAAGTAAAGTTTCACTAGCATTTTGACAGAGATCCTCCAAGAGTCTATCTGACTGGCCACCTCTTGGACTCACATATTCTAGCCACCATCTCCATCTTCCGCCTCCTGCCCATTTCTGGGTGAGCTTCACTAGTTTGTTGAAGGGTACCACTTCTTTTCAGGAAGCATCATGTTTTATGTGCTTTTGATAACCCAGAAGAAGGGATGGCGCATTGCAGTCACCACCACCCGATGTTGCATCTCCCAAGGGATGGCCATTTTGTAAGCTGCTCCCCTGGCAGGGGGCTAGGTAGGAAGAATACCTTCAAGGCTCTTATTAGCATGCTATATCTCCAGCATTATTACCACACAAATCTTTTCCTATGAAAAAACAGACCAGTCACCCTGAAGCCAGTTCTGTACCTGTACTTTAATGCCTGTACTTTGCACTGGAACATGGGTTATAGAGAAATGTGAGCAAAATGTATTTGCTTGTTCGGTCTAGCAGGCAACTACCTTGAGCCAAACAAATAAAACACATTTTTTAAAAAGCCTTTTGCTTCCTGTAGAATACTGCTTTGTTTGCCATCATTGTTTGGCAAATAGGAAAGGGCTTATCTCTCCTTCCCAGAAACTAGTGCAGCTATAGAAGAGCTCCAGAAACTTGTCAGTCTTTACTAAGAAAAAAATATTGGTTTAACAGCCCTTGCCAGGAAATTATCTGAACCTTCAGAAAGAGAGAAGGTGTAAAAATTAGTTCACTGGGCTATGCCATTCTTTCCTGATTTTTAGTGTTCAGTTCCAATTCAAGGATCTTATCAGGTATATTTCAAAAGCAAACTACAGTAACCTTTAGCATTAGAGTGTTCACATATTAGATATTTCTTGGTTAGCTGCAAAATTAGCATTTACCTCTCCGGTGCAAAATGTGCCATATTTTTGTTTGATTAATTTGTAATTAAAATTTAAGCGAGTATGTCTGGTTTCTAGCAGATGGAGGCAAAGGCATAGCTTTGACCGTAGTTACAGTTTTGTTTAACCCCCTCCAGAGAAACATAGTTACTGTGCATTAATATACAGCCTTTCACCACCAGACCTGTTAGTGTACATTATGGACTAATAATAATAATTATATTGTCAAACAATTCAAACTGCGTAACAATACAAGCTCCTCTGAAATGTGAAGCGCTACAGGTAATGAAACCTGCTTTTCTTTATACAGTCAGCTCAAACCTCTTTTTGAGCAACCTGGTGTTAAATAAGTAATGGGCCTGGCTGCCCCCTCCTCCAGGAGAAACCATAGGAGGGAGCAGAGTGGGAGGAAATCTCTGGGAAGTTTTGCCTTGTTGAGTCTGTGCCCAAGCTTTTTCCTGAGGGTGGAGTCGCTCATTCCCTACGATTCTCTCTTCTCCCATGCATGTGAATGGGAGTGTAAAAAGACACTCCACATGGAGGAGATTTTGGTGAGGGTCTCAGGCAGGCCAGAAGAGGATGGGCTCTTCCTGGCGTGGCCGTTGTGCTTGTGGTTCACTGGGCATGCAAAGGACACACGGCATCACTACTACAGCGATGGCTGTTCTTTATGGGACCACGGGGTTTGACAGCTGAGCATTGCATCCTCCTGGCTCTGGGGCCGTGGCCCAAGCTCTGTAACAGGACAAGGACCCTGTTTTGACTTGAGTGTTAGTAACCTGCCCGTTTCTAGAGCGCAGTTTTGCAGTTTTCTATGCCACCAATCAACCCAGTGTACCTAGGTGACTTGTTCTCACCAGCACTTTCTGTTAATTTAGTCCCTCATTGAAAACTAGAGCTGTGAGAGCAGGCGAAGCTCAAAGTCTCCTGCAATTTTGGTACAGTAGAAGCTGAAGGAATCTGGTAGATGTTTTCCTAAATCTGAGCAAACACTCGTGCAGAGTTAGTGCTACAAGCAGAAGACAGAGAGTGCAGTGAGGCACAGGCTTGCATGTGAGTGCTTTGAGAGGCTTTGTTGTTAGCTCTTCATTTCCCACCTTTTCTTCAGAAGTTGTTTCCCCACAGGTGAGACGCTGCAATAGTTACAGTCCATGCCAGCTCCCATAAGCCGCTGCAGTCGACGGGGCTGACTCTGCCCTGGACCAGGGCTGGAGCACATACAGGATCTGCGACTGTGGCTGCTAGGATGACAACCTCCAGCAGTGACATAGTAACAAGCAGGCAGAGACAATAATGTCTTAAGCTGCTTCTGCTGTCTCGGATACCGCCGTGTGATTGAGGACACTATGGAAAGCAGACACATGCAGACAAAGCTGGGGGTATCGGGAGGATATCGTGGGGCAGGAGATAATCCATTCATCCTCCTTGTGCCTTGTGGAATGACCTATGTCAGATACAAACCCGCTCTTCTAGGTCAAAGCCACATATGGGAGGTGTGGTACAAAACCCAGAAGATTCAACTACTTTTTGCACAGACATTCCTTAACCTTTTTCCCACGAAACCGCCCTCTCAGGTGCGAGCTTATCCTCACCACGCAGGACAGAATTTCCTGGCACCTGCCTTTGTTTTTTGCTTCACCGCTTCGGTCTTCAGACTCACCTGAAAAAAACCTCCCAGGGAGGAGGAAAAAGACAAGCCGGATTTTCCGGGGATCTCCCGCTTTCTGCTTGCGGCAGGCGAGGGGGAACCCGCAGACGCCGCGGCCGGGCTCTCCCCACCCTGGGGGTGCTGCGGGCTGCGGCCGCGGGCGGTTGGGTGCTGCAATGGTGCCATCTCCTGGAAGAAACCCGAAGAGCAGGGTCTGGCCCGGATTTCGGGAGGTGGGTGAGTCGGCCAGAGCTTGCCCTCGCTGCCATCCCTGCCCCAGCACTCGGTGTGTGGAGAACCGGCCTGCGAGGAGCCAGGGGGGCTCGGTGGGTGCCTGGGAGCGCCGGGCACAATCCGGCCCAGGGGCTTGGTGATGCCAGAGACGGCAGCCTGCAGGACCAGGGGGGCACACAGAAAATGTTAGCCGAGGCAGCTCCCGGGGTGAGCAGGCTGGGTTCACCAGGGCTTTACTGGAACTTGTATGAGGAAGCTTTCATCTGAGATGCTCAGGTGAAAAACCCGCACGGCTGAACTCCTCTGCCGTGCCCTGGTGTAACTCCCCGGGTGTTGCTAGAATGGGTCCCGGGAAACTGAGAGGCGAGCTAGGCCCACAGCAGACCACTGGAGTCTAATTTATCACACTGAAAAATCTAGCTAAGCCATCCCAGCTGGGGCTGAGAGCTTTGGTTACGGAGAGGAGAGGTCCCTCGTACCTGGCCTCTGGTCCCTGAACTACTTCTCCCCCCTCTCTGAGTTACCTGTTGCCACAGCAATACTGCTTCAGGAAAGGGTGGAAAGCCATCAAGTAACGGTCAAACTAGGCAAACTTCCACTCTGTTCTTCCCAGAGCTAAGCAGATGGAACAATGATTAGTACTAAAGCAAGAAAATAACTGGGATCTACAACATTCCTAAGAAAAAAATAAAAATCCCAGAAAACCAGAGAGACCTATTAGTTCATTTTGTCTGCCCCCAGCAGTCAGAGAAACAGTGAGCAACAATTTGTCCTATAGCACACTGTACTGTACTGTATGGGTCCAAATTCTCCTCCTACTTATATTGGTATAAATCAAGAAGCCAGTGGAGTTACGCAGGTATAAACCTGGCATTATCAGTTCCTGGGTCTCTTTAAATTTTACTGAATCCTACTGCTGATTCTTCTTTGTTTGCCTGTTAGAAACAATTGTTAAAAAGGCACATGCATTTATCCATAGCACACTGTATCATGCAAAGGGGTTCTTTTCTTGGCTTTGATCTTTCTTTTTACTTTTATTTTTTCTTTGAAGAAATGCAGGATTATTACCTCAATCTAGCCAGCTGGCCTGCTGGGGCTCCCTTTGCTACATCAGGGGTTTCTCTTTTTTCTAATCCTCACTTTAGGGATAATCCTTCCCTACCTTCTAAAGACTCTTGGATAAGGAGCATATTTTGTTATTACTACCTGTTGTTTAGAAATTCATTTTATTTGGTGTAGGTGTTGCTAATTGTTTGCTAATGAACACCTTACTACAATCAATGTGGTCAGGATTATGCTGGTCTCCGTGGCAATTAACCCTTTCTTCCTATCTGTTCTGATTTAGATTTCCCCATGCACTTTTCAGTTTCTAAATATCAAGCCTAATTCTATTTTTGGGGGCCCAAGGTAGAGGATTCTGTGCACTTCCAGGTAGCATAGGGAACTTTTACTTCCCATGAGAGATTTTAAAAAGGCAGAAGTTGGCATTTTGTAATCTGCAAAATGTTTGTAGGTGCAAATGCAGTGATGTCTAAGGTAAGTCCTGGAACAAGATGTGTAGGACAAATCTACAGCCTAGGACAAGGAATGGAGATCATTCTGTTTTACAGAAATGTGGATAATCTCAAGGCAGGGAAGACTGTATACTCTTAAAGGCTTTTCGTATTCCTCTGTATCATACATGCTATTTAGACGCAATATGTATCTCCTTTACACACACAGAATGAAGAATAAGCCCCACTTTGAAGAATATACAGTTTAAAAAGACAAAGGCAGATCAACAGCATTAGGAAGACAAAGAGCAACAGCTGCGCAATGTAATAAAAATACAAAGCTTGTTGGTTACCATTCCCTCCTCCCCCTTCGTTTCATTCCCTTAGCCTGACCTTATATCTCACCAGTTGCCTTACAGCCACCTTATCAAGAGGAATAATGGATTCAGGCAGGTGATGCCCCAGCCCACACACTGCCCAAACTATAGGATCTCTGAATATTGAGGTGTGTACCAAGACTTGGGCCTTTAGGAGAAAAATGTGATGCAGGACGCATCTCCTCGGGTAGAGATGCCCAAGAAGCAGCCCCTCCCGCCCCCGTCCGTATTTTGGAGAGTGGAGTTTTGCCTCCACTTCCAAACTGTTGGAAAAAGGATGAAGCTCCAGCAGCATAAAGAGGAGCCTGCCTCTGCCACCATCCCTCTCTTCCTTACGAAGGCAGAGGGGAAGGAGCCAATAGCTAACATGGGTCCACGTGCATGGTGGTGGCCTGTTCTGGGAAAGCAGCAGCCAAAGCCCTGGCCCTTCAGCCTGGAAAACCCAGGGGACTCTTGCTGATGAGGAATTCATAGATCTGACTTCTGGCTCTCCCAAGGGCAATCGCAGCTCATCTGTGGCTACACATCATTCCCACACCGAGGAGCCTCAGGGCCTTTTTGAATTAATTTTACCTCAAACGAGATTTGTTTTTAAAAACCTAGGCCTGAATGTCTTCATGCTCTGAAGTATCTCCAGTTGGAATACCATGGCTCAGAACAGCCCTTAACTTCATGCTTTGCATGCCATATACTGTGTTAGCTATTGGCATGTGACAAAGAATTCAGCACTGTAAGTGACCAAAGTAAAACCTGGAATGCTCCACTATTGCTGCAGGTAACAGGTGGGAGAAGCAAGGCAGAAATTAATATTGAAAAAAGAGAGGGAGAGAAAGGGTCGTATGTTAAAGATCTAGATAGCTTTTGTTTGTTTGCTTCAGTATTGTCCTGGTTGCTGAATACTAACGTGCTTTAATTCTTTTTCATCAGAGTCTAGATCTTTCTGAGTTCCTCTGACAGTCAAGGCATTATGGTACATCACCAGGATGTTATTCAGCCAATCTCTCCATAATAAAAATATAAATGTCTTTTTATTATTTTTTCCAGTCACCGCTGCCAATTTTGCAGGGTGCCAGACAACCGTGCTACTGTGTGTGACTGATGGCACCCAGCCAGTCTTTGTAACCGTATTATTCATTTGCTCATTTAGGCTCAAAGCAAAACCAGGTTGGCACTAGCTTTTCAAAGCTGGCTTCAAGCAAAGGCTCCTTTCTTTGAGCAACCAGTGAGCAGAAGGGGAAAAAAGAAGGGTAGGAGGACTAGAGCCAGCCAGGAATAAAACTGAGCAGCCCAGAGAGCAGCATCTGAGCTTGCTCAGGTTACCTTTCTGCCACCTCTCTGGGAGAGTGAGGGAGTGAGGAAAAATCAGGTAACCTGTATAACATAACACATCTGAGCTGCTGCCATGGCAACTTGGGTGATGCTCCTCATCCTCTCCCATACAGCTCATGCTTTTTTGGCTCAGGTAGAGGCACAGCATCAGCACAGGTCCAGGACAAGCCAAGCTGCATGTTCTCCGCACTGACCCCAGGCTAAAAACCCTTCTCAGAAGCAGGGCTGCAATGCAGCAACGGCCACATGGCTCCAGCCCAGCCAGCGCTGAGGCTGCTCTGAGCTGCCCTGCCAGGCTCAAACACTGGCAAAACATCTTACCATTGGCTTGATGCCACACAACTGCAGGTAACTGCTGGCTTCAGCACTAGCACCATGGCGTTTGCACAGCAGTCTCAGACATAAGCTAATGGGTCTGGTTGGACCCAGGCTGGTTTGCCTAGAGTCATCATGAGCATCTCTGCACCCATGAGTAAGCCACTGTTGACTAAAAGGATTGAAAGTGTAGGATGGGACACACTTGGTAGCATGAATATAACCCACTTACTTGGAGTCAGAAGGGCTTTTAAAATCTGGCTAGAAGTTTTCTTTCATCTTTCTCTCCTTTCCTCACCATGTTCAAATCATCTCTCTTGCTCTTCTGCCCATTCAGCTCTTCATTACTGGGGGCAGATTATTCTCCTGCCTTCAGCCCAGCTCATCTCAGCACAGTTTCAGGGTAAGCTTTGGAAACCAGTCAGCGATCGCTACTGCCAGCATGCCCTGAGACCAGAAAAACATCCTGTTTTAGTCTAACTGCTTCTAAGAGCAGAGGGCTTCAAAGGGCTTGTGGGTTTTTTTCTTACAGCTTGGGCCTCTTCACCCGGCTCAGCTGCAGCCAGAGCATGTCTGACAGACACCTGCGGCTGTGAAAGCTCAGTGAAGGGTAACCAGCTCGTTACATCGTTTTTGATGCAGACTGGTGTTGGAGAACAAGGGGAAGGCAGCTCAGTGTAATGGCAGGGAGAAAACAGTAGTGCAGAGAGCCAGAGGCAAAGGCCAGCCTAAGGCTTGGGTTTTGGTTTTGTCTTTAAAGATTACTGAAGCAGCAAAATCTGTAGGTAGGAGGTTAGTTCAGCCTTGATTTGCAAACACTTGTGTATTGTTTGGATGGTAATTTTGGCCTGTGAAACTTGTCTCCTTCCTCCCGTCAGCAAAGCTGCAGATACGTTTGGTTACTTCATCTCACCAGCTATCCTTTTATTTGCATACACCAGTGCTCTTGCATTAGAAATGAGTTGTTTATTTTTACCAAGGCAGGATCTTGCTGGCAGGGTGCTGGAATATTTGGGAGGGTTGGGTTGTTGTTGTATGGGGTTTTTTTAAAGAATCTAGCTTAGAGGTATGATATGCTCTGCAAGGTGTAACATAAACTCCTCAAATCACATCACATTACCACATATTTTCTTTTAGCTTAAGACAGTTCTGTAGTGGCCCGTATCATAGCAAAAGTTGCTGCTTTAGCAAAAGTTGGTCTGATATCCTTCTAGCTCAGAGGATATGACCAAAATATTTTTCTTTGGATGCTCTCACAATGCATTTGTCTGGATTTAACTTGAGTTCTCCTTTTTCATGACTGATGGTGCAGAGCAGATTGTGTCATAGCCTACCTTATTCTGCTGGACCTCGAATCTCATTTGCAGCTTCTGCAAGTCCACAAATGTCCAAAGAGGTGTAATCCATTTTTTTTTTTAGCAATATGCAACACCAAATACCAAAGGCATGCAAGTGAATCAGTGACTCTGTCACAGTATAAGGTTAGCATTGAATTCCTGGTACTGCTTTGCTGATGCATAGCCATAGGTGATATGGAAGTGTGGGTCGGAAACTGCTCTGAAATGAAGATCTTGATTGGTGTTGCATGAAGATCCTGTTATAGTTTCAAGAGAGCTATTAGTAAAAAGAAACAGGAAGAAAAAAAAAATATTCCTGATAAACCTCTCTGCAAACACCTGTGGGATGTTACTGGGAAAGGTCCAAGGAGCATACATGAGGTCAAGAGAATTTTAGTGGGATAATAAGAGGATGAAACTCTCACTCTCTCTCAACCTATGGCAAAAAGGATGACTGCTGAAGTACGGGCATCCTCTGCTGTGACCGTGGAGAGCCTGTCACATAATCGGGGCGGGGGACGGGACTGCAAAACTTCACCATAGACAGACAGGTCCAGTCTCCTGTTGCTCAATTCTTTTCCTACACACATCTTATCTCTAGAGAAAAATGATAATATTTTGATTTGAGATGAGGGCAGGGCATTTGCTCTCCTGGCCTTGGATGCTCAAAGGAAGAAAAACAGCCTCCAGAATTCAGTCATGCCTGGAGGGGTGAATGTTTGACTAATGTGGGAATGGAGAACTGCTGACTCCTGTGCTTGTGTGAAGAAAGGCCTCTGGAGTGAGTTTGGAGAGATGGAGAGGACAGAGCTGGCTCTACACCTATAAATTGGGGACCAGCCACATAAGACCAGGGAGCATATGCTGAATTGAGCATCAGTTAGACCTGAGACACATGACCAGTGAAATCCATGAAGCTTTCAGCATGCTGCTTGGCAGTGCTTGTAGTCTGTGCTTCACGGGTTCTTATAAAGATCCATTGACCCCTTACCCCAGCACATTTCTATGAAGTTTGAAGACTGAACATGATAGATGACTGTCACCTGCATTTACTTGTTCTTTTTTATCCTCACTCAAGAACTTTGCAGTCCAACATTTTGGGATGGTCCTTGGGAGGTCCTTACATGGTTTTACACCTTCACCTGAGAAAGATTTGTTCCAACCTCTGTACTGCGGACTTCACCCTTATAGAAGAAATGTCATTTGGATGTCAGGAGTTGTCAAAGACAGTCCTGAACTTTGGGGTGACCTTTGAGCTAGTAAGTGCCTCGAAGATGAAATCCCATGACTTTGAATTTGACTTGGGCAGAGCACTGCAGAGTAGGGGTTGGGTGGAGGCACTTAGGATGTTGGCAAGGAGGTGCCGGCAGTCTTTTGTGTTAGGTCAACATTTCTTATGGATCAGTTCACTGCTCCAGCAAAGTTGGTGATCTCATTGTCTGCCTTGACGATCACCTATTTTCTCAAGTGTCTTTTCTTAACCTTTTGCTCATGTTGTAACACTGGCAGAGGGCTGGCTATATTTTGGGATCTGTTGCAGTAGCCAATTTAATCTTGTGCACTCTAGAGAAGATATCCTAATTCATGAAACACTGCATTTTTCCATGAGGTCATCTGGCTTCCATCTTGCTGAGTTGTCACTATTTATTTGTTCTCATGAAGATCAGCCCTTCTCTGAAAATAAACATCGCTGAAGTTTTGTCTTACAATGAAAAACTTTCAATATGCTACATATTTTGTTTCAGTACAAGTTCCTTGAATATCCAATGGACCTCAAAATGCAGAAAATACCAAAAAATACAGAAAAAACAAATTCACCCCAATGTCATCTGTGATTCCTTTTTTTCTTATCACATGTGGGTAAAATGTGTAATGAAGTAATTCTCAGACCTCAAAAGGCTAAATGTAGAAGAAATCCTTTTCAATGTTGTGCTGGTTTTGGCTGGGATAGAGTTAATTTTCTCAATAGGAGCTAGTATGAGGCTCTGTTTTGGATTTGTGCTGGAAACAGTGTTGATAACACAGGGATGTTTTAGTCACTGCTGAGCAGTGCTTACACAGGGTCAAGGCCTTTTCTGCTTCTCACCCCACCCCACCAGCGAGTAGGCTGGGGGTGCCCAAGAAATTGGGAGGGGACACAGCCGGGACAGCTGACCCCAACTGACCAAAGGGATATTGCACACCAGATGACGTCATGCTCAGTATATAAAGCTGGGGGAAGAAGAAGGAAGGGGGGAACGTGTGGAGTGATGGCGTTTGTCTTCCCAAGTAACCGTTAGGCGTGATGGAGCCCTGCTGTCCTGGAGATGGCTGAACACCTGCCTGCCGATGGGAAGCAGTGAATGAATTCCTTGTTTTGCTTTGCTCGTGCGCGCAGCTTTTGCTTTACCTGTTAAACTGTCTTTATTTCAACCCACGAGTTTTCTCACTTTTACTTTTCTGATTCTCTCCCCCATCCCACCGGGGGGGGAGTTAGCGAGTGGCTGCGTGGTGCTTAGTTGCTGGCTGGGGTTTAACCACAACAAATGTGCAGTTGCCTAAGCTGAGTTGCTGTTTTCTGTCTCTTTTGGTTTGCCTTGAAAGCATCAAACCCCCACCAGGGTTGATAGAGTTGATCTTTTATGACACAACATGCTTTTCTTCCTGGCAGCAATGGATTGAGGTTTTTAGAGTTCTAGTTAGTACGGTAGTACAAAATCAGAGATCCAGCTTAGGAGATAGGAGACAAGAGTTTAAGCTTCAGTTCTGCTTAATGAAAATCAGCCCTGGGCCCTGACGCTGGAAACAGGGATCATACTACTCCTCTTCTGCCTCATCTATTAAGCTTGAAAACACTTTGGGGCAGGTACTGTTGTACTGTGCATTGCTGTGTCCCAAGGCTAGCTGGAGCGGAAAGCACAGCTGCGGTAGAAATAGCTTAAGCAGCCATTTCATTAAACCTGTTTGAAGACTGACACGTGCAGCTTTAAGCTTGTATATGCATCCACTACATAAAGGTGAAATTCAGTATGGATCTCAGTGGGTTTTTCACCTTGGGTGCAAAATCAAGCATTCATGAAATGAACCTGGAGATGCATTCGTAAAATGTGATTTCCAGCAACTTTGGCTAGACATATGGAGACAAAAAACCTAACAGCAGAGGTGCAGGAAATAAAATGTAGCTAATTTAAAATATCTTTTTAATCACATAGCTGGCTTTCCTACATTAACACAAAGGCTTCTGAATGGGGAGATTGTGTTTCCCATAATAGTAATTTTTTTTGCTATAAAATGCTTTTTTTATCCTTCTCCACTTCTGGACTAAATGAATGATGTGGAGACACATGACTGGCTTGGTGAAATCAGCCACTTAGCAACACTAGGACCAGATGCCCATGCAATAGAGTGCCAAAGCAGAGCGCTGGCGTCCTCCATGGCTTGGACAAATGTCTGGGTCTAATGACTCCATGGCAGCCCTGTCTGCAGAAACTTCAGGGGCACGATCACAGCCCACGGAGAGCCGCACCCAGCAGCAAAGCCTCGGGTGGCAAATTTGGGTGGCTACTGTATATCATCCAGCCGTTATTCTGGCAAAAGTGTTGGAGACTTTTTGCAAGTGTCCTGGCAAAAAGCACAGGTGTTGTGTGCTTGCCCCATTTCACTAATGGGGACAATCAGCCCACAAAAGAAAAAAGAAACAAATCCAAAAAAAGCAGTAGGCCTACAGTGATACTAGTGACAGCAAA